TCCCCATAGCGTTAGTGGCGGCGGCTATGCAAGTCCTTTAACTGGTGAGTTGGCCCGCATTGTCGCTAATGGCAACCAGCGTGCTTATCAAGGATATTACGCGGCAAATAATAGCAACCTATTGACACAATCACACGGCCGTCAACAGCAACAGCAGCATTGTAGTGGTAATAATAATAACAATTATAACGCTGGAGTACAAGCCGCCAAAAAGTCGCCAACGTATGGCTCCAGTTCAGCTTCGTCGTGTTCTTCGTCATCAACGTCCTCCATATCGTCTAATTGTTCGAATACATCACACCGCCAAGAACATCCAAGTCAGCAACAACCACAGCTGATCAAAACTTCCAATTTGAATTTAGCCATTGAAACGTTAGCTGCAAAATCAAGTCACTACCAAACGGGTGGTGGATACCCACGACAGCCATACCAACGTGGGCAACAAAATCATAATAGCCATCATCATCATCATCATCGACACCACAATCACCATCACCATCACCATCAACATCACCATCAACATCCACATCAACCGCAATATCAACGTCAACAGCAGCAACCTCATCAACATCATCAACACCAACAACATCAACATCATCCTCAACCACTTCCGTTGCTACCCAATAATCCCACACAGCCCCAACACCAGAATTTTTATAACCTTACTTATGTAAGTACAGATGGGCATTGCAGCAGTTCTCTCAACCTCGCAAGCGGTACTTCAAGGATATGTAGTCCCGGATCGTCTTCCATGTCAGTAACTTCTTCGTCGGCGTCAAATCATAATTCAAAGTTGCTCGATAATAATAATGGTACAGGAGCAACTTTAATGCTAAGTTTCAATTCCGCAAACACTAACAATTACGCACAACGTTATCATCAGAGAGGACAATCACATCAGCAACCGCATTACCAGAATCAACAACCAAACTTCATCAACAAGAAGTTGTTGACACCACTGAACTTAATGTCTCCTGCGCAATCTCCCTCTGCTACCAACACTGTGTGCTATGCTCAACTTGATGAGGCTGTAACGGCGACGAAAGCATCGATATCTTCGTCATTGTCATCGAACGATGTTGGAACTTCCACGCAAACACATTCAACCAAATCAGTGAACACTGGGATTGGCAATGACTATGACTCTGATACCTCATCCACCCAATCCTCCGCTGTTTCTTGTCAGGGCCCTCAAGTTAAATATCAACCCTTGAAATCTTTGTCGTTATCGTCATCTTCGAGTTCTTCAGCGGCATCTTCTATTTCTTTGTCTACGCCAACGACCATAGACTGCAGTCAGACCAGCACTCCAGCACCATCAGCCACGCCGCTTCTTAGTCCTCTAGATTATAACGCATACAATTCTGTCATTCAAAACATTCCGCCTTCAACTACGATTCATCACAATCTACAACAGCGCTATCAAGCCCAACATCAACAACATATGTTAGCTTACAACCGGAATGTTCCTACTGCAGCTTCCAATCAGCTGAGTGCGCAGCAATTGTATCGTAATGGTGTTATTTCATTATTAAATCTGCAGACACAAAACAATGGCAGTACAAACTCTGGAGGCCATGGAATCGGTCAAGAAGATGATTACTTGCAAGCTCTACAACACCAACCACATCAAACGCATCATTTTTACTTCAGTGCAAACTCTCCCAGTACCGCATGTGATCAGCCAACGTTAGGGGTGACGTCAGCTTTAACAGCAAACCTTTCAAACTGCTCAGCAAGCAGTAGTAGTGGTTATTGGAGTCCTACACAGCACGCAAACTTACTCTACAATCAAACAACAAATGTTTCAGTCTCACCGCGCTTAAACGACCTAGATGAATTACAGCAATCATTGCCAACAAACCATGTGATGTCAAGCTTATGCTCGGCTGTAGGTGGTGGGCTCTGCATGAACAATTCAAATTCTAACGTTCATCCCAAAAGAGGAAGGTAAGTAAAAACATAATTTTAAAAAATTAAGAGATCTGTGGAATAAACCGAAATCTATTACAAAGCTCTGCACAGATTTTGTCACAACAACAGCAACAACGTGTTATCGTTCAACAACAACAGCAATCGTCTACTTCACTGCCGAGCAATTCTAATCCCAATATCACTTCTCTTAACGCGGGAGTACGTACGCGCTCCGGTGGCCGTAACCAACAAATACAAACATCTGTCATTACAAATGCTGGAAGTGGTTCACAGCAATCGCCGCCGCCGCCTTCTTTGCAAACTCATCTACTTACTCATCAACCAGCATCTTTACAAACTGTTCCGCAACCATCCCACAATTTGATTTATAACAATCCGCCTACTCATATGCGTGCATTGGCGGGCATAACTGCAAATCCATCTGTACATGATTTTTTTACACATACACCGCCGGATCGGTTTTTAGCTCGGGCACATCTTATTGAAGCTAAAGAAGCACCGCCATCTCTGCTTAGTAATACAAAGTGGGATAACCTATCGCAAGGTATTTGGAAAAAATTTATCAGTTCACAACAAACTAAGGAGACGTTTAAACAGAAAATGAAACTATGGCGCTACTTGTATCTGTTCATCAAGGTTAACGAAATAATACTTATGGCAAAATATGAAAATGTACTAAAGTTTTAATTTTCTTATAGAATGCCTATCCACGTTATGGCTTATATTTAGTAGGATCAACAATATCTGGTTTTGGATCTGATAGTTCCGACGTTGATATGTGCTTAGTATCACGTAGTGCGTCCAGTATTGATCCCCGGATGGAATCTTTGTTTAATTTAACTGTATTACGTGATTGTCTGAGCAAATCAGGTTAGTGTTGCTCTTTGACATTAGATTTAGTATATCCGTCAATTTGTCAGCTTTTCAATTTTTAAAATTTAGTATAAGGAAGCCAATATCTTTAGATACTATATATTGATTTTTAATAATATAATGCAGCGAATATATATATCTACGCTTTTTTTCTGGGATACGCCCACTTTTGCTATTTCGATGCAAAAGTGATTTATATCTACTTTTACGAACTCCCGTCAATTTGACGGGTACACTTTATGAATCGTCACAGTGTCGCAACAATGAAAAGAGGAAGCTGAAATTTAGCGCAAACATTTCTTGATCGGTTAAGAATATGAGCTAAAAAAATGGGTGCCATATGTTTACATACATGTCCACAATGCAGAAGGAACTAAACGTGCGCGGGAAACACAGACGATTTTTTCAAATTTACGTCTATAACTTTCGGTACCGTGAAGAATTGCTACACAAAGGTTCGCCACAACCGACTGCATATTCGATGCAAAAATGGTCGTAATTAGTTCGCTAATACGTCCACAATTAACGCCAAATCGCTCCCATTTTTTGACATCGTGTTCTTAATCGATCAACAAATTTTTGTGCAAAATTGGAGCTTCTTATCTTCACTTTCGCAACAATGACGATAGACAAAATTTATTCATCAAACTGGCAGGTTTTCGTAAACTAATTAGAAACGGGCGTAAAGTAAATGGCCAAAAATGAAATCAGGGTAAAAACATAACAAATCTTTACACGAATTTGCTATATTTTGACGAGACTAAGATAACATAATCATCATATTTTTATGTAAGTAAAAAAAAAAAATAAAAAAATACCGACCCATACGTTTATATTTTAAAATAAATAATAATAAGACAAATGCCAGGTTAAATTCCGTATGGGTTATTAAGATTAAAAACCAAGCAACTTCGGGAATGTAAAATACAAAAAAATTCTGAACCCCAATGGCAACTTTGCTTATAAAGTTAAGAATGCGTGGCAAGCCTTTGAAAAAATGTTCGAAAATCTTCTAGAATTTAGAAAAATTTAGAATAATTTAGAAAAATCCAACATTTTAGGTGAATTTGAAAATTTCAATTTAATTGAAGCCAAAGTGCCTATATTACGATTTCGAGATCGCATTCATCAGCTAGAAGTGGATTTAAATTTCAACAATTGTGTTGGGATTAAAAACACGCATTTACTTTATTGCTATTCACAATGTAAGTTAAAATACACATAGTGCATTCGTATATCTTCATTAACCTTAGTTGTTGCCGTTTCAGTGGACTGGCGTCTGCGTCCACTGGTGCTGGTTATAAAATTATGGGCACAATATCACAACATTAATAATGCAAAAAATATGACGATTTCCAGTTACTCGTTGGTGTTGATGGTAATACATTTTCTGCAATATGCTGTTAGTCCGCCCGTTTTGCCGTGCTTACATGATATATATCCAGACAAATTTACACTTGTAAGTATTTTCATCGATGCATATAACTTACATATATTTATTTTTTCTTGTAATGTCTATCCTCATACAAATAGTTGCGTTCCAATGATTTCGGTTATGTGGATATGAATGAGACTATAGGACCCTATGAAAGTAAGAATACCCAGACTTTAGGAGAATTGTTTTTATACTTTCTAGAGTATTATAGTTGTTTTGAGTAAGTGGTTCAAATTTTTATGTTCTGCTAATTAGGAATAACTATTTTTTATCTATATAATTCCAGTTATTCTCAATTTGCAATATCTGTACGTACAGGTGGCTTGTTACCTATAAATGTCTGTCGCACAGCAAAATCTTTAAAAAATGATATTCATCAGTGGAAGGCATTGTGTATTGAAGGTAGGTTACCATAATTTTTTATGAAATTGTTTGAAAACGATATTTTGTATGTATTTTTGTAATTATTATTAATAGAACCGTTCGATCTAACGAATACAGCACGTTCTGTATATGATTTTGAAACATTCGAACGTGTGAAGGCCGTGTTCGTGGCTTCGTGGCGTTTGCTACAAGAAACGTTAGAGTTGAATTCCGTATTTTCAACAGTTATTATACCTTCAGTGCTCCCCATTAATAAAGAAGGTTATGAGCAGTATATACCTACAAAATCTGTGTTAAAAGAATTAACATTAGCTGCTATGTCTACAAATGCCGCTACAATGACACACGACAATTGTCCTTGTAGCCAGGGCGGCATGTCGTCGGAGTGTTTAAGTTCAATGCATCATAATTGTGTCTTGAAAAATAATAATACGGCGGCAAGTGAAATTCAAAAAAAAGGCTTATCGAATTATGGTAGCGCTCAGAAACAAATCAATAGCTCCACCAATAATAACAACGCAAACACCAATGCTAATGCCGCCAACAGCACAACTTCAAACTTAACTACTTTGATTTCCTGAGTAACAGTGTTTTGTAAGGAAACTACTATGTATGGCAGCTGTTTTATATTCACAAACTCGACATCAATAATGCGGTCACCTTGTGTATGTAAGTTAAAAAAACTAAAACAACTACATGTAAAAAAGCATTTTCGTTCTTTTTTTTTTATATTTCCCATTTACAAAGTAATAAT